AAGACCACAGTTGAATCCTGCTTGAGAGGGTTGACTTTTTCAGCGCACAAGCTTTTCTTTTTCTTAAATACAGTTGTGAACTGCTTTTGCCGCTGACTGTGGTCGGCCTGCAGACGTGGGCAGCGGTGCTGTTACGTATGTTACGGGGCCCGAGAAGACCACCTACAGTGCTGAAACTCAGCACCAGTGTGAAGCCTGCTTTGCACCGTGAAGGCTGATGGTAACGGTGGTTCCTAAGCATCAGGTTAAGAGTGGTTCGTGGTTCTGATGGTGTGCAGAGTGAGTACTGCTGACTTACACAGACGTGCCTGTAAAGATCAGCAGGACCTTTCTGAAACACAGTACAAAGGCTGGTAACTTTGGGAAGTAGTATTTGCATTTTTAAGGACATGCAGCTAAGCATACTGAACGGTACCCCAGGTAGGCTTAATTCAGACACGGTTGGGAGCTTAACGCGTTTTTATCATTCGCCAATTAGTGGTGGTTAATAATATTGGATCCTGTGAATAGCCGGGGGGGGGGGGGGGAAGGGATGCAGAGTCACCTTCTCGTGAGTCTGCAGTAAGCTCAAAGGAGACCTCAGACAGGTCTAGGAGTGCCTGTAGAGTGTCACCTCTGTGTTGCTTTAAAACGGTGCCCAGCTGTTCCATTCACTTGCTCTTACATTTGTTGTCTCTGTGAGACGCAGGTAAATGTATATGCAGTGCTGATGGACGCTGGAAGAACTCCAAAGGAGAAATAACGCTTCCTGTCTGTGAATCAGGTAAGGCATGAATATAGTGAGCAGTTGGAGTTAGCGGTTGCTGCCTGGGCTAGTACTGACTGTTGCTGGTCCATACCACGCTGTGTCACGGAGACAGCGAGGCCGACTGCACGTAGGCCGACACTGAAGGACACAGCTTGCTCTGAATTCATGCTCTTCCGTGCACCTGAGTGGGAACTTCAGAATGTTCCTGCAGTGGAGGGGCTGAGCTCCGTTCTGTAACGCTTGGTCCTAAACACCGGATGCGCTGGGCTGTTGCCAGGGTTACTCAGCTAAGCCGTTCCGTTGTTTGTGTAGAGAGACAAGTAGCAGGTGTAACAGCACGGCTTGCTTAGAGTTTCTTTTAGTACCTGTAAGTGGATGAGGCAGAACCACTTCTTTGTAGAGTGTTCATTTTAAAAAGTCAGACTGCCACTTTTCTGTTAGTCTGATTCTCAAAATAGCGAGTGCTACACTTGCTGTTTAACAGGGAGGAGCAATAACAAGACTGAAAATGTTGTCGTAACCACACAGTGTGAGTGGCATTGCCTGTACGTATTAATATTGACCTTATGTTTATCTCTGAAGTTGTTTACTATTTTCACATGCCTTGGTCTTGCCCGAGGCTCCCTGGTGGTGCCTGCGTTGCAGATCAGTGCCAGAACTTCAGTTTGGTTCCCGTTGAAGAGCGTAAAAAGCTGAACCTTCGGTTTAGCCCAGCTCTCTTTTGGAGCATGCAGTTTCATACATAGCTAAACTGTTTTTGCTCTTAAATTGCTTGGCATTGTTTCTAACAGCAAAATTGAACCACGCTCCAGAAGTATTTGTGAGGGGAAAAGCCACCGAATGCCTGCATTGCAGAGTGCTGGGGTGGGGATTTTTTTTTTTATTCTTTTTTTAATGCTTGAACTGCGAAATTAGTTACTCTGTAAAATTACTCAAGATCCAAGACTGAGTTTTGGGAGAAACATTTTACAATGTAAAAGCGTAATTGTTCCTCTTCTCTTTTAGATTAGCATATCCATATATTCCAATTACCTTAATTTGCATTCAGAACAAATACACTTACTTCCCTATGCCCAAATTCCTAAGCAAAACTGTCTCTCTTGATTACAGAACTTTTCCAGAGGATGTGTGTAATACTGACTAATGAAAATTGTGCTCTAAATCAAATATTCATTTGCAAGCAATTTTACCATTCCAAAACAATCTTAAGAATTGCATTTAGAATCATTAACTTAATCTACAGAAGCATAATCATTCAGTGCCCAGATCTTAGAATGTTGAATAGTTCTCGCTGCCCTCCTTGTTTTGCGGTTGTGGAACGCGGAGTGGTGGAACTGTGGAACGAGCGCGTGGGGGAAGGAGAGCCAAGCCTGGAGAATTTCCCTGGCAAGTGCTGTTAATCACGGAGCAAGGAGGATTAGGAGGTGGCTCGCTTGTGTGTGACAACTGGGTTCCAACAGCTGCGGAGGGTGTAGCTGATCAGAGAAACCCCTCAGCTTTGAGGATTAAATTGGGGATTTTGCATGAATGCTCATTTTGCTATGAAAATAGGAAAAGGCAGAAAAAAAGTTATTCATGAAGGTTATAAAAATGATCTTGTCAGCTTTGACAATGATACTGCACTGGTTAGACTGGAGCACAAAGCCTCAGTTAGCACCCATGTCGCACCCGTTTGTTCACCAGGCAAGGAGACAGCTTTCGGATGAGCGCATGCAGTTGGGCAGCTGTCGGGCTGGGGAGGAATGGAGCCGAGCAGCTCTTCTGTTCCACAGCCGTGCACGGGGTCGGTGGTCACCCGCCAGAGAACGTGCGGATGTGTACACAAATAAACCAGTCAATGGAAAGCCCTGGCTCCTGCCAGAAACTGGCCGTGTGCTGGGGCTGAGGGAGGGGTGCTGGAGGACGCGGGTGCTCGTGGGTGCTGAGGTCAGCAAAGGGGTTTTGGGTGGCAGTGAGTCCTGGGCTTCAGACTGCGGCAGCACGGGGCATGCGGGAGTCACCAACCACAGCCCTTGGAGCAAGAGCGGTATTTCGAATCAGAAGACTCTTATTTGTAATTCCTACCAGCTATTACTTACTTTAGTAGCTAGAGTATTTAAATACTTAGAAAACAAGACCAAATCTTAGTCTTTAACTGTATTAGGCTTAACAGTTTTTTTAAAAAAAAGACAAAAACCCTTGAGTATCCAAACACACTATTAATATGTTCCCTGTTAAAAACACTTTAGATTTGCAAAATTGTCATCTGCCTGAAGAGGGCATTACTCCTTACTTAATATTTTGTTTTCTTTTAAATAGCACTGTGGATTGTGGACTGCCAGACCGCAGCTCAGAATGAGCAGCCGTCCAGGGAAAGCACACAGAGCATCCAGGTACCGTACAGCACTCCCTCGGGGATGGTGGTAGCCGCAGAGTCCCGGCAGCACCAGCTGCACGCCGTGGTTGGGGGCCCTGCGCGCACGGTGCTGTGCACTCCAGAGAACCTCTGTAGGTACCTGCTGTACAGTGTGGGGACAGCTGCGCAGCCCTTGCCTTAAAGCAGTTCCTGCCGTCGGCTGCAAAAACTGTGATTTTCTGAACATAATTTTATGAATAAGCTTTCAGAGTTAGAATTTCAGTACATGGTCAGCTGACAACGGATTGTCAGAAGCAATGTTATAAAAAACTGTTGTGACTATGCTATGTAGCCCCTTACAGTTACCAAACTTCCTCGTTCTTGCATCTCACATTCTTTCATTACTATTTCACTTCTAGAATAATGTAACTGAAAATGAAATATTTTTTTAAAAAAAAGACTCCAACCACTTCAGTGTTTTCAGTAGTAGTTTATTTACTCACTTATAAACACTAGAGTATGCAAAGCAATTAGAAAACACTACTAAAACTTGAAAAATAATTCTACGAGTTTCAGGGATTTTGTTTGAGGGTGAAGGAAGGCTACAATTATTAACAAAGACTACTCAGTGCTGCCAGCCAGCCTGTTAACACCTGAACCTGGGCAATTTAAACAACAGTAAAGCCATGCTAATTACAAAAACTTACCATGAAGTTCCTTGCAGGGGGGTCACAGTTAGTCTTTGGAGGTCCAAGAATACCATTTTTAAGTGTTACTCAGCAGCAGTAGCTGGTAATAGTGCAAGTGCTAAAATGCAAAATTCACAGATGGTACAGAGTTTGGAGGTTATTCTCACTTAGGTGCAGGAAAAAAAAATTAAGCAACTTTTTGCAGTGGGACGTGAACAACCAAAGTATGGGTTTACTTTTCAGCCTGAGTGTGTAGAGCCCCTCTTTAAACCTTTAAGATGTACATGAGAGACCCAGCTGATTTTTTTTGAATATTGCAAGTGGAAAACAAACCGTAGTGCAGTTTGTCCACTGTTTAAATGGTCTCCTATTCACAAGCCTCAATATAATAGGCAGTAATGAAGACATAACTCAAAGTTAAAATAGGTCAAAAACTGTGTAAATACCCATATTCGGAACGTGCATAGCTGCAGCGTAGTCGTATGGTGTACACAAAATACAGATTGGGTTTGAGGCAAAGTAGATTAAACAATTCCTCAAGCTCCTACTGCCAGTGGAAATAATCTTCCACCTGTTTCTGTGGAAACATCCTGCTCTTTGTTAAGAAGCTGCCTCTCAGTTGACACCTTTGCACCTGTACTAAACTTAGTTTTTCAGATTAAGACTTCTGTCAATGTCTGCGTACATTTCCTAATGCTTTATTCAGGTGGAATGTCTTTCCTGCAACTAGTTCTATAGCTTTCTGCCAGGCTCCAAGTGTTGCAGTGCTACTTCCCTTGAGTGGACTGCTCTAAAAACAAGTTAAAACCACACCTCCCCAAGGGAGACACTGTGGACAGAAACACAGCTCGACACTATGGGCTTGTCTCCCCCCATCCACTTCTGCCAAGGAACTCCAGCTCCGAAAAAGGTCACGCTCCTTGGTACAGATGCGATCTGGAGGGGACTGCTTACCATTCTAGGTGCGGGCACCCAAACGTGTGGGAACTGGATTTTAGAGAAATGCGTATCACTGAATAGTGCAAAAATACAGTGGATTAAAGCTGGGTGTCAGGTATCGATACAGGATGAGTGGTGGCTCCGTTTGACTTGTCAGCTTTTAGAGCAAGCTTATCTGAAACAAACCGAATTACTGCAAAAAAGCTTTACAGAAGTTCATCTCAAAAGGGTAAAGTTAATTAACTGCTATGAATTCTTTGCATTCAGGGCTGCAAAACAAAGACACATATTACTTAAATCAGTTTTATTTAAGAATTTCCTACAGTGACAAATCTTATAAAAAGCATCCAAACACGAAACTGCAGCAAACAGCATTCTTGTGGATATCTTACAGACAGTGGAGCGTCCACCCTGACGAGACACACTGAGCTCGCTAGTGATCTCTGCTACAAGAGCTGCTGCAAAGCACACCACAAGCTCAATGTTCCCATCACAAACCCCATCATCTTCAGTTCACATTACCACACTTACAGATCATTAACAGAAAAAAAAACACACACCATACAGCATTCACAGCAGTTGACATAAGGGAAAAAAAATACAAATATTCATTTCACAGAACACATTCAACTAATTCATTAACTAGGTATAAAACCCACTTAAAGTCTTCCACATATGGATGTCCTTTGAATGCCATAAACACTCGTACTTTATTTGCTATCATTGCTCTCCGCACACTCTCTCACCAAAGCCACAGGATTGAGAGACATCTCGCCAAGTCAAATAAAATCCCATAATGCACCACCAGGTCTCCGCATGCGCTCTCTCCTTTTATCTCGCTCATACCAGCCCTCTCATGCCTCGGCACCACCATCAATCCCACACAAGGTTTCAAAAGTTCAAACAGCCTTCTGGTTCCATCTCACAGCCTTGCGTTCACAGCGTTGATACGACTCCATGAAATAAAGAGTAGCGGATAAAAATGGAACACCCACCGTCTAAGACGCAGCATGTGCGGTGTGATGAAGTATTCTTGGATGAGAAAGCATGTAGACAGAAGTATTCCTAAGGCAGAATATTTACAGCACTGCTTTCAATGAAGTGCTTCTTCCATACACATTTGAAATGAGATGAACTGCGGAGATTAAATGAAGCCTTCATATCGTACTTTAGTATGGAGGGGAGACAAGTGTTTAAAAAAAAAAAAAAACAGAAGACAAACAAAACAAAAACGACACTGTGTTCTCCAATTCTCCAACTGGGGCACTTGGAGAGTCTTATGGTGGGATCAAATTAAAAACAAGAGGGAGAGAATGCTGTTTCTGACCAATGGTTTCCATTTTGAACATGCAAAGAATTCAGGTACCGAGGAAACAAGGGATAAAGTATTACAGGAGAAACCTTTCCTATCGACTGTAGTGTTAGTTTACCTATCGGGCAAACAGCAGTCCGCTTCCAAACATTCAATATTCCAACCAGATATGTAACAAAACTTAGAAAATTCCTTTTACCTTTCTTTTTTCTTTGTTTTTTGTTTTTTTTTTTTTTTTGTTTTTTTTGTTTTTTTTTTTTTTTTTTTTTTTTAAAAAAAAGAAAAATGTCAAAAATACTGCTGAATATACTGCACACCGAACAAACTGATTTGGAAAATTTTAGTATATATGTAATTTACAGTATACTTACCACGGGTTAGAAAAATTTGATTTCCCACCACAGAGTCAGTATCAGAGCCCACTGCGTCTACATTCCCCAGCCTGACGATTTGGAATCCATGCTTGAACCAAAGCCTCCGTTAAACCCACTACTGGAGCCCGCGTTCGAGGCCGAACCCCAGCCTATCGCCGCCCCCGAGTTGGAGCCGCCGTAGGAGTTATTTCCTGAGCTAAAGCCCTGGTTCTGCTCCCGCTGCATGTTGCCTTGAGGCTGGCTGTTCCCCGAGGGCCCTGACTGGTTCTGCTGACTAGCCAGCATGCCCATCATTCCCCAGCTGCTCTGCAGGGCTGCCTGCGCTGCTGCCATCATGGCAGGGTTGATGCTAAAGGCTCCGAAGTTCATGCCCCCACCCATGTTACTGCCCTGGTTGTTACCCAGTCCTCCCCCGCCACCTCTGCTGTTGCCAAACCCCCCCTGATTCCCAAAGCCTCCTGGATTACCACCAAACCTTCCACCTCTCTCTAACTGTCTATTGCTATTGTGCTTAGGTTCAGCATTGGATATATGTACGCTGATTCCTTTAATGATCAAGTCCTCTCCACAAAGAGACTGGGCAACCTATAAGAAATAAGGGATGGATTAAATGTATGCTAGACATCTTTTTTTAAAATGTTAGTAGTACAAGACAAAAAAACCCACATGATTCTGAGCAGATATTTAACCTGCAAAGGAAACACATGTGTACACTTCATCCAGTTTGAAGTGTTTTATCTTCACGACTATGCTAACTGCAGTACAAAAACCCGTCTGTACAACAGCATCTGAAAAGTGTAACCTTGGACAGTTCAATAAATGAAATCCAGCTAATACCGCTGGAATTCTCAAGACAGTGGACAAGTAAGTGTTCTGTGGGTAGTTTCAGAAATAATGCTTTATCAAGCTACTGAAACATAGGCTGTCTAAATATGAAGTTAAAATATTTTCAGACATACCTGATCATCTGCAAATGTAACAAAAGCAAAAGCTCGGAAGGGTTTAGGAATGAAGACATCTACCACTTCTCCGTACTGGGCAAAGAACTGTTGGAGTTCGTCTGCCGTCATGTCCTCAGTGCAGCGCCCAACAAACACTTTTCTGCTACGCAAAGGTTCGTCAGGACTTTGCTGGAGAGAATTGAAGAGAGAAGAAAAAATAATGAAAACAAAAATCACAACTATCCTTGAGAACCAAGCTACATTATGATAAAGGCCCCTTTTAATCAAGGCTGTTCTGAGGACTGAAGATCAAGAGTTTGAGATTGTAAGTTAAAGACTTAAGTTCAGAACATGCCTGCACCTTGGTAGAGATGGAGAAGAGTCACAAGAAAATGAAGGCAGAAGCAATCCCCAGGAGCAGTGTGACAAGGCCACTGCAGAGGACGCTTTTTTTTCCCTTTAATTAACTGCATATATATACACAGGAAATAAATAGAAGCTTCAGGTTCAGTTTTTAACTCAAAGACTCATTCTGATCTTCCCTGGGTTACTTATTCCGCCTGCTTTATTCTCCATTTATTCATGCAGCAGACAAGTTAAGCAGGTACTGCTGCACATAAAACCACATTATTTTCAGATTTCCTTCTGTACGTAATTCCCCCACATAACTAGCTATTTTCCCAGCACTTCTTGTTCACTTCCTGCTCACCCACCTCCTCCCTGTTTTCCTTCCTTGCTCTCACTTGTCCTGTCCAGACACAGACTGAAAAGCCACGTCGAAGGTGATTACTGATCTGTTCTTCTGCTCACCTAACAGCGCTGCTGAAGAACTGCACTTCGAGCGTTTGGTAAAAATAAAATAGCAATAAATATGGACGTACCTTAGAATTGGGAAGTTTACAGTCACACCATCTTCCATCTATCATGTGCCGCTGAGACATGACTTTCACCTGGGTTTCATAATCCGTAAACCGAACAAAACCAAAACCTTTTGAGTGGCCAGTTTTAATATCCTTCTTAACCTAAGACAAAAAAAGCAGACTTTTAAAAAGATCACAGAAACAGTGCATGCCTGTCTACGTGACTTAATGACATGCTATTCACCAGTCATCTTCTGTATCAACCTCGATACCAAGATCATCAGAAAAAGCATACAAAAGGTGTCCATTGTCTCACTGTATGTGCCTGCCTGTTCTTACAAAAACTACCGCAATAGTATACAGTCAAAGCAGGGCCCTTCAACACCTACAGATTAAAGTTACCAGCTTGCCTCCAGCCCAAGCATAACCAAAAATGCGACAGAAATACTCTGTAATACTGTGCCATAGCCAGCCCAGCTGTGTAAGCAGTGCGGCCACCAAAGGGGCAAACCCGTGTCGCTGCACACAAGAGGCACGCAGGTAACAAGATAACAAACAAACCAAGTCTGCCAGGATCAGGCGAGATCCCCCTTCCGGGAGCAAAGAAACACCACGTGTGGAGACAGAAGAAAACTGAAGCAGGTCAGTCGTTGGACTTCAGCTGTCAGAGAGCCTGCAGGCCTGGCAGGCCATCTGGCAGCGAAGGCCACCGCAGCCCCGGGCGTCCACACTGCCCACACAGCACCAGGTCCGCGGCACCACGTGTGCCCAGCGGAGGTGGGATGCGTGCGCTGCAGACCAGCAGCGGGGTGCAGGCAGTGACCACACAGCAGTAACCGCTGGGGTGAAGCGTGCTGTTACTGCGTGAATTGACAAGACTGATCAGCTCCCAAACAGAACTTTCCCGAACGCTCCCATCACAGCGATCTTCAATGCCTTAACACACACACACAGAGTCAGCTACAACAATTAGTAACAGTAATATAAATTAAAAAGCTCTTAAAAATGCTGTACCCATTAATCTGATCTGCATGGGTTGCCACTCGCAGACATCCCTGACCATCGGTACCTACAGAAGCCTGCAGCTACAAAGCTCATGGGACAAAATGCAACCTATGGACAGAGCCACACAGCTCCAGATCTTCTCTGAGTTTATACGGCTCTTGTTTGTTTCTACTGGCTTCGTCCGGACTGATTTCTACCTGATGTCCCTCCTTCCTTGAGCTGCAAAAGGATTTTACCTGCACCATCAGAACTTCTCCAAATGTACTGAAATACTCCTTTAAGTCTTGTTCAGTGGTTTTCCAGGGAAGACCCAAGACTATTAAATCCGAAGTCTTCTGTACTGCCCGTTTCACTTTCACAGCTGATGATGCATCCGTTTCATCCATTTTTCTCTTATTATCTGAGTATAAAGAAGAACATTAGACATCATCCTCAGCTCTGGAAATTGCTTCCACTGATTATGAACTGCACGATATAAAATCATAGACTACAATGAGAAAAAGTAGAGACTACAAAAGAACACAGGCCAACTGCTGGGAGCTTATTCTTATAATCCACATCCACCTGCCTACGAGTATAAGGAGAGAAGAACAGTCTATGCTTAAGTCCTCCTCCAAAATGCAATTTGACTGAGTTAGTTTTGCATTAGTTTACTAAAGAATAATCCAGTAATGGGAGAAAACAGGAATTTTTAACAAGAGTGTTTCATTAGCTATTTATTTCCATTTTGGGGGGCTAGGGGAGGGGTGGTGGTCAGGCTTCTCTTTTCCTAATGGCACCTCTGACCAAACCACAGCTTCAGGAGAAGCATCTGTGAGTACACAGAGAACCCAGCACAGCGCAGTCTTCAAAGGATCTGTGTAAGGCTGTGACCCTTCCACGGACACTGTCATTAAAGTGCTTGTATGAGCAGAGTTAAAATCTTACTGCACACATGAAAACTTGGTGGGGTCACATCGACTCTGCAGGACAGATACCTACAAAACAGCCGCAGGAGCGAAGACAAACCTTTGGGATAATTGACCACATAGACGAGGTTTCCCCACCCGGCCTCCGGCGCGTGCAAAATGCCCTCCACCAGCCGGACCCCCCGCATGCACTGCGAGACCGGGTTGCGGTAGCGCAGCCCACAGGCCCCGGGGAACTGGGCGGTCACGGTGGACAGCAGCACGGTGCCGTCGTCCTCCGAGGGGATCTCGATGGGCTCATCGTTCTCGTCCTCCGTCACCCGGATATACTCCGACATCGCTGCTGGAAGCTACTGAAGGGTAGAGGAGGGGGAAAGCGGGCGTAAGCCATCACCGCGCTTCAGTTTCCGCCTTTCCGGCCCTAAGGCGCAGGCCCATCTCTACTTATACTTATTAAACACCCGGGCTCACGGGAGTGCGTTATTCACGGGCGCTAAAGCCTCGGGCCCTGCTGCTCCACGGACCAACGCCTC